GTACTGGGCACGCCGCAGGTGGGAGGCCATTTCATAACATTTCTTGTTGATCAAACCACCGTGGACACCTTCTTTGCCCATCAGCAGGACTAGCGCTGGAGAAAAGAGAAAGGAGGCTAGGACCCAGGTGTCACAAATCCACCCCCTGCCAGCTGTTCAGCAGCTGTCCAGCCCTGGAGGCTGTAACCCAACCTCATCCCTCCCAGCTGCCCCCCCCACACACACAGGCAGGCTGTCAGTCACCCTGAAAACAATGGGGCTTTTCAAAAGGGGGAAAATCAAGCTTAAAAGGCTGGGGAGGAACAGATTAAAATTTAGGGGTCAAAGGCTCCCGGACTGTTGACTCATGTGTTCAGGCCAGAAATGGCTGTGGATGAGCCAGCGATCTTAAGTTATAACAAAAGAAATCAAAAGATGAGAGCTAAGTGCTTAGGACCCCAGCAGTCTACCTCCATGAACATGGAGTTTCTGTAATAACCAGAAAAGTCTCATGGCAGAGAGGAACTGAGGTAATGCAGTTCCAACTACTTTATAAGATGAGGAACAAAGATAAAACAGCCTAGTATCCAGGAACACAACTGGAAGTATAGCACTGGTTTGATTCCCTTTACACTGAGAACCACACAGAAAATTCAGTAAAATCGAAGATATGTTAGGGATGCCAAAGGTAAAACGGGTTAAGAGTCAGAAACTCACTCTTGGCAGTCATGGTGACAGTGAGGTTGAAGGTTGGGGCTCCGCCAGTGCTCTTGGTACGAAGATCCATGGTATATTCCCCATCCAGCAGCAGTGAGTCCCGGATCACAGAACATTTCTGGCCCCCAAGTGTCAGCCCATTCACGAAAAAACTTGACCGGTCTTTGCCAACCAGAACTCCAACCTCAGCTGGCTGAAAGGGGAACAAGGATCTATCAAGGGAGTCAGTGCACCAAGGTTCCCACTCTTTTCTCCAAGGACCTATCTTCCTTCCACTTCTCAGGGAGCTAGAAAAAACCTTCAGAGAGGAGAGGTATTTTGCTTTGTACAAGTCCTGAAATTTGAGAAATTCAAGACCGGGAAGTTAATGCACAAAAGATCATGAGCCTCAAACCTAAAGAATGGTAACAGAGAATAAAGGATGCCATGTTCCTCCAGAGACTTAGCTCTCCGTTTTTAAAAAGGGAGGCAAACTCAGGATTGAAAAGGGACCAAATATCAGGGAGGAGAGTGGAGTGGAAAAGAGCGGGGAGCCTTTGGATGCTCAAAACTCTCCTTCAGGAAAAGCAGAAGCAGAGAGGGGAAGGGAGGGGGCGGGTGAGGCAGGAGCAGCAACTTTGCCCTTATTTGGTCAAAGGTTCTGCAGGAGTTGTTAGGGACCCGGACGCCTGGGTCTCCAAGTAACCTAACGTTTAGGTCCAGGTGTCTGTGCCCCAAGATAAAGAAGAAACAGACCCCTGAAGATTCTGTGAGAAGGTTGAAAAAAACTTTTGAAAGAGGTCCAGGATCATACACGGCCAGTCAGCTCTCCCTTCTAGCTACCTCAAGGAACCTTTCTCGCCGTCTCCCCCTTACACCCCAAACCCCCACATCCGGTCCCCTCATGCCCGGAAATCCCCTCCCCCCTTCGAACTTCCGTTCCCCCTCCCCACTTCCGGGCAGTATGGACCGGGAAGGTGGTGATGGGGACAGCAGTACTCATCCCTTATTCATTAACTTATACTCTATCAGAACTTCTCATAAAGTTCCCCGCTGTAGGCCCCGCTGAGTGGCGGGAAGGGCGGGTGAGGGGACTTCCGGGACTGATCTCAGGAATGTTGGGTCCAACGTGCCGAGTTAGGGGGGCTTGTGGCGGCCTCACCCTTTCTAATGGAGTTGGGAGGGGCAGGGAGCCCAGGGAGGCGGGCATGGGACCCAGACCAAGCGCCTAGGGCTCCCTCCTGCATAGGGGGGAACAATGGTGGAGGAAGCGCACGCTGGAAGCCGGAAGTAGAGCAGGGGGTTCAGGGGTTCCCTAGCCCCTTCTCAGTCTTTAATTCCTGCTTAAAATTGCAGAGCGTGTCCGCCCCGCCCTGGATGAGGCGGAAGTGGGCCGCCGTACCGGGAGGCGCGCCCCTCCCCGCCCTGTGCCCCGGATGTAACGCCCCGTCGCGGAAAGGAGGGCGGCCGGCGGGATAGGCGCCGCCGCTTGGGGCGTAGGACTTATGGGGGCAACAGAAGGACCCACTCACGTGCTCCGCCATTCGTGCCGCTTCCAGAGCAAGGACTGGGTCGGCCTTTCGCTGCCCTTCCCAGACCGCGCCCGCCCCCACCCAAAACCCTCCCTCGGTCCAAGCCCAGCTTGTCTCCCGGACCGCGAAGACTTCGCAGTACCGTGATGTTGGCGAAGGTTTTCCCGGGGACAGCGGCCCAGACGGAGGGCGAGTCCTTATAGCCCACGATGGCCGCGTCCTGACAGGTCCCGTCCGCCATGAGGTTGTCGATATAGGCGTTCCACCCGGCCATGGCGCTGCTACTAGTGCTGCTCTCGGTGCTGCTGCTGGGGCGGCGGGCTGAGGTTGGGTTGCCTCGGGCTGGCGGGAGGGGGGGGAGGCGGAGAGCTTGGGGCACGCGCTGCCGTCCGGACCGCGGCTCTGCTAGCTGTGCAGCAACCCTCGCACCGCCACTTCCTGCTCCTCCTCCCCCCCCCCAACTAGATTTTTATTTGCAATGAGCGGTAGGGGCGGGGCCAGCTCCTATTCTCTCCCTCCCCCATCGCCTGCCCGGACACCGAACTTTGCAAATGCAATTTAAAATATCCCTCCCCCTATTGCAAAATTTGCAGAGTTCGATGGAAAGCAGTGTAAAAAGGGGGGGGGGGGCCGACGTTAAGGTTAAGGTTCTACTTTGTATTGAATATAATAAACCAGACTTTAGGGAGAAGTGAGTGAGCCAGAGAAAGGAAGGGCAGAGAAATGAGGAAGAATTAGCAAGCTGCAAATTTAGCAAATGATATGGAAAAGGGTTTGGGGATCCCAGGGTTAACGGAACGATTATCCCTTCCCCCCAACCTCCTCCGGAGGGAAGGGACGGCGGGCGGCGGCGCGTGCGCCTGCGCCTGCGCCGGGGCTGGAGGGAAGGCGTGTGGGACGGTTGAGGCTAGCTGCCGGCTTCACAGGCGCGCGCCTGGGCGCGAGTTGCCGGAAAAACTTGGACTTTCATGCGAAGAAAGGCGGGCCGGAGACGTGTATCCCGCCTAGAGGAAGGGGCGGTGGCGAGGGCGCGCGTACTGTTGCCTCTACGCCCTTGATTATATTTATTCAAGAAATAAGGGAGAGGAGAGTTCGGCAAAATACCTTGGCCCTTTTCAGAGCTGAAGGCACCCACTGGGGGGACTTCTGTCCCCAGCATCTGTCTGGGTCACCCAAATTGGGCTTACTTGAGCCCACCCCTACTCCAGGGGATTATCCTTTCTCGGGCAGCTCTAGCCCAGGGGCTCACCCCACGTCTTAGCCCCGCCTTTGTGTCACCGGCCGTGCCCCTTGGCCTGTCTCTGCAGAGGTCATTGAACGCGGGCGCCCTCAGGGCTTGAAGGACTGGACTATTTCTTAAGGCGGAAGAATACCAGCGACAAGATTGGAAACTTTTTCAAGAAGGGGAAAGTCCCATTTCCTTTGGGCCCGTTTGTTTAGAGCTTTACATTTTTTCTTTCTTCAATAAAACTTAAGCTAAGAACTTGTACGCAATTAATTCGATCGCTGTCAACTGGGAAGAGGATGAAGGACTTTTCCCTGTCATCCGCTTAGATGAACCAGTTCCGTCTGCTCCGGTCACCGCTGAGGGGCTCGGCTGCTTCCGGTCCCTCCGGGGCTGGACGCGGAGGTCACGCAGGGCCTCCTGGGAGCGAAGGGGCTTCGATTTTTCCTCATCCTCAGAAACGGCCCGGCTTCGTAATGTGCACCTTGAATCCCATGGCACCGGCACCCCCCGGGCCCGTGTTCCTCGACAGCCGCCGTGGCTGAGTCACTGGCCAGCTCGGGCGGAGCCGGTCTCGGGCACGTGGCAGTGCTCCTAGCCCGCAATCTCCTGACCTCTGGCCTGCCGCACCTCCCACCCCAGGGTGAAAAAATCTGGGGAGGGAGCAGCCAGAGATAAGGCAGGAGGGCGAGATGGAAGATTTAGGGGGCAGAGATCCGGAGTGGGGGCTGGGAGGGCAGACACCATGGGGCAGGCGGGGCCTGGAGCAGAGAGAGGGGAGGGCGCCGGGGTGAGTCACTGGGCGCCAGCGGCTCCGGCGCCGGCGGGAGAGACCTCCGAGCCATGCGCCCGGTAACTCGCCTGCCCGAACCTCGGCGTCCCTCCCTTTCCCGGGTGAAGTTGCAGGCAGAACTCGAGACCGACAGCGCTCTACCCAGACACTCCAAGGCGGAGAGCGTGGTCCAGTGCAGAGATCCGCTTTCCGAGAACTCCACAAAGCAGATGGCCCTACTGGCGCAGGCGTTCCGACACTCACAGAGGGCCACCCCTTCCTCGGGTCCATTCATGTTATTCATTCGTGACTCAACATCATCCTTTGATGGGATCCATCATCCCTGAAGCGCCCGTAGTCTGTGGGGAAAGGGACTCCAGACCCACAGCCTCCACGCTGGACAGTAAGTGCTGTTCCAGCGCTATCAGTCGGGCGCGGAGCCAGCTCTGACGGCTGGTCTAAATTCATCTCCAGGCCCTCTCCCCGCCCCTTGGCTGGCGGGGATAGGGTTCGGGTAGGGTGGAGCCGAGAGAGGCAGTTATGAGAAGGACCCTAAGAGGTGAGACCCTCTCACCTTCTGGGTAGGGTTCACTTTTTAGACCGACAGCTTGCCCAGAACTCCGCCTCCTTGCCCCACTTGAAGGCAAAGGCAGCCCGCGCCGCCAAGAAAACTGAGCATGTGTGGATGTCAATCCTGCAGCCCCTCTTCCTGGCCCCCTCCCCAGCCCTGCAAGCTCAAGTTACCTCTGGCCTTTCCTAAAGGGCAGTAGTTCCCCTTTAACCTTTACGGAAAGGGGAGTTTACTCCTGGGGAGGGTAAGACCCCTCCCCAATCTGAAGCCCCTTCCCTGCACCTCCCAGGAGGTAGGATTTAAAAAAAAGAAGGATTTTGTGGGAGAGGGAGGGAGGGGCATCTGTGGCCTTTGGGAAGGGGACAGGTCCCAGGGCCAAAGGCTTCCTACTTCAGGCTTCTGTGGGCACTTGGCTGCCAGCCTGGTGTCGTGGGGAGAGGAGGGGATGAATATGGAGAGAGAGAGGCGGGGCTGGCGGGGACTTGGGTGGCTTGAGAATAAATGCCCAGCCTGAGAGGGGGTGAGCTGACATTGTCCCAGCTGCCACCTAAACTCAGAGCTCACCCCAGGCCCCCAGCGAAGACATCCCAGGTCTGGTGAATCTTCCAGCCCCAGGGGATAGGGTGGTGAAAGGTGAGGGTGGTGATGGCTCAGAGCAAGTAGGGGACATTTCTACTTTTTTTTTTTTTTTTCCACCTGGGACTGGAGGGCCTTGAGAAAGACTGGAGCAGACAGGATGGGGCAAAATCTGGTAGCATGCAAAGACACAGGGAAATGAGGCTGGCAGGGGTGGGTAGGGAGGGTAGTTAGACTTGGAGGTAGGTGGGGAATTTGGGATCAGTCAGGATTTGGAGAAGATTGAAGAGCAGGAAAAGGAGAACCTGAATAGCTGGAGAAGATTTGAGGGCTAGGTGGCCATGGAGATTAGACTGCTTGACCAGAAATGGGGAAGGAGAAGGCACAAGTGTAGATATGAGGAAATCGGGGGTTCGGGACTGGTAGAATCTAAGGAGTTATAAAAAGAAAGGACCCCTGAAAGGTCAGGGAGGGGCTTCAGAAGAGCTGACCTCCTAATTAGGTCTCTCCCCATATTACCATGGGGGTGGAATAGGAGAGGCTCTGAGTGGGGGAGGGGGCTATGCCTGCTTCTTTGGTCTGTGACCTTTTTAGGGGATATTTTTAGCTCCAGCACCTGCCTTCTTGGGGTGGGGAAGACTCTTAAAGGGCAAGGGGTTTCTGCTTCCTTAAGGGATCAACTGTCCACACTCACTCCACTCCCACTTCTTGTCCAGGAGCCATGGCTATGCAGAAAATCTTTGCCCGGGAAATCCTGGACTCCAGGGGCAACCCCACGGTAGAAGTGGATCTACACACGGCCAAGGGTAACAGAGGATCATTGGATCAGTTTGCCTTAGGAGACCCCACTCCTATCTGGCCTTTGCCCCCCAGCTATGTGCCACATCTTCTTTTCTCTGGGGTCCCCTACTCCAGATTCTTCCCTAGGCGTTTCTCTTCCAACTAGTTCCTCAGCTGAGAGAAGCAGATATTTCTTTCTGTGCTGTCTTCTAACTCTGGCTCAGAAAGATCTCAGTCCTTAGGATATGGATGGGACTCTGTGATCTTCCAGTTCCTCCTACCCCAGGCCAATTAAGCAGCCCAGGTGGTACCGTAAGGAGCTCGGGTAGTGCAGTGCCTAAGGCATTTGACTGTTAACCAGAAGGTTGGTGGTTCAAAGCCACCAGCTGCTTCAAGGCAGAAAGATGAGGCAGTCTGCTTCTGTAAAGATTTACAGCCTAGGAAACCTTATGGAGCACTTCTACTCTGTCCTATAGGATTGCTATGAGTTGGAACAACAGCAACAAGTTTATTTATTTATTTATTTTGTCCAGGCCGATTCCGAGCAGCTGTGCCCAGTGGAGCTTCCACAGGAATCTATGAAGCTCTGGAACTGAGAGATGGAGACAAATCACGATACCTGGGGAAAGGTGAGCAAGGGCCAATGCAGGAGGGGTAGAGGATGGGACTTGAAGCTCTTGGGGCATTGGGTTGCACAGGAAGAGACCTAGTTAGGAGATCAGAGCCCTTCTGAGCCCCTCCCTGGCCTCTCTAGGGGTCCTGAAGGCTGTGGAACACATCAACAAGACTCTAGGCCCCGCTCTGCTGGGAAAGGCAAGTGCTCCCCCTGCCCTCTTCCCTGTGCCCCTGTCTTGCTCACCCTAGACAACCCATTCCTGGGAGGTACCACCCATCTCCTCTCTCCCAAATACCTTCACTCCTCCTTCCTCTTGGACATGCCCCAACTCCTCAAAAATTTGACCTCTGCTCTCCTTCCTCAAACCTGCCCTTCCAGAAACTAAGTGTTGTGGATCAAGAAAAAGTTGACAAATTTATGATTGAGCTGGATGGGACCGAGAATAAGTGTGAGTGAAAGGGGAAGACTGAAGGAAGGAACGGGTGCAGGTGGGGAAGGGAGAAACCCCAGGGGCAGAGGCCTGATTTGGGTTATTTTTGTGTCCCACGTTTTGGGGCACATCGCAGCTGGATGGATTTGTATTCATTCCACAGGCATTTCCTGATGCCTGCAGTCTGCCAGGCCTGGGCTGGGCTGTGGATGCAGACATGAAGCTGACACATTCCCCTAGGTTTGGGTCTCCCAGAGTCCCTTGGGTGCATGGGGAGAGAACAGTTAACAAATTCTGAATGCCCAGTGGTTTGGGGCTCTGGATTCTTCCTGGGGTAACCAGAGAGGGTGTTTGAGGAGGTAACTCCAAACCCTGAGGGAGGAGGAACTCTCATCCTTTCTTCTCACTTGTTTCCTTCCAGCCAAATTCGGGGCCAATGCCATCTTGGGTGTGTCCCTGGCTGTGTGCAAGGCAGGAGCAGCTGAGAAGGGGGTTCCACTCTACCGCCATATTGCGGACCTCGCCGGGAACCCGGACCTGGTTCTCCCAGTGCCTGTGAGTGCCGCTGCCCTGCCATGTCCCGACATCCCAACAACAGAGCTGGCTCCACCCAGCTCAGGGTGCATAGGCCCAAACCAAACCCATAGCCATTGAGCAGAACTGCCCCTTAGGGTTTCCAAGGCTGTGATCTTTTAAAGAAGCACACTGCGACATCTTTCTCTTACTGAGCAGCTGGTGAGTTTGAGCCACAGACCTTTTGGTTAGCAGCTGAGTGCTTTAACCACTGCACCACCAGGGCTCCTTCTGGTGCATTAGCAGCACGGTTCAGAACCAGCTTCAAAGAAAGTGTTTTCTGAAATCGGAACCTTTTAAGCTGTGGTTCAGCTCCTCCCCTCGCCCGCAGTCTAAACCTTCCCTTAAATCTCCCTAGGCTTCCTTTCCTTGCAACCCGGTTCCTTCACATTCCAATCCTAGGCAATAGCTCCAACTTCTAATTTCACCCCTACACTCACCCCCCCCACCACCAGACTGGAGCTGAGCTTCTTCGTGGCCAGGATTTTGGCATCTCTTGGCATCTTCTTTAACCTTATTGAAACACATTCCCTCTTTATAGAACTCTTTAAATGTAACCTCAATGCTACATTTGTTGTTACTTATTAGGCAGATTGTATAAAAGCATGAACTTTGAAGACAAACTGTAGGGTTCGAATCCTGGCTCTGCCTGTTCACTATTGTGTGATCTTGGGCAATTTATTTAACCTCTGCATGCCTCAGTTTCCTCATTTGTAAAATGGGGGATACTGAGAGTCCCTAGTTAATAGGGTTGTTTTGAGAATGAAGTGAGCTAATACAATACAGGTAGTTCTCAACTTACGACGTGTTCCATTAGGAAGAGCCAGACTTAAGGACTCTCCTTTTCTTTTTTTTTTTTTTTTTTACATCTTATGGTTACTAATATATACCACAAACAGTGGTGCAGTGCATAATTTGCTAATGTTATCATTCTTGTGCCAACCCCAAAAAACAAAGATTTGGATTTATAAAGACAGTAATAGTAAAAGGCAATAATGATGACAATTAAAATATTAAAAAAAGGTATACAACTTATGTCAGAACCCACTTACGATGGGATCATCAGAATGGAACCTTGTCTAAGAGGAGGATGACCTATGTATGTAAAGTACTTGAAGCGGTGCCTGGCACATTGAAACAAAAACAAAAAACCAAACATGTTGCCACCGAGAAGATTCCAACGCATGGTGATTCTATGTGCTTCAGAGTTGTTGTTATTTGCTGTCTAGTTGGGACCCAACTCATAGAGACCCCTCCTTGGGTTTTCGAGGTTTTATCACTACGGAAGTAGATTGCCCAACCTTCCTTCCAAGGAGTAGCTGGTGGGTTTGAGCCGCCAGCCTTCTGGTTTAGCAGTCAAGTGCCTTAGGCACTATGCTACCAGAGCTCCTGTGCTTCAGAGTAGAACTGCGTAGCTCAGAGTTTTCAATGCTATAAGCTTACAGTAAATTGCCAGGGCTTTCTTCCACAGCATTTCTGGGTGGATTCAAACCATTTTAATCTTTCAGCTAGCAGCCAAACACAAACCATTTGTACCACTCAGGGACCTTACCTGGCATATAGTAAGTGTTGCAGAAGTGTTAATTCTTATGGTTACCATCATCATCATCATTATATACCAGGTACATGCTACATACTTTACATTCGATTTTCAGCAAAAATCTTGTAGGTGTTATCCTCATTTTAGAGGAATGAAGAGGCTCTGAGTAATAAAATTAGTCATCCTACACCCCTAAACTGTAAGCAGGGAAACCGGGATTCCACCTCAACCCCCCAACCTCACTTGATCCCTCATGCTACCCTGGCCTGAAGCTGAGCACCCTCTTCCTCTCCTAGGCCTTCAATGTGATCAATGGGGGCTCCCACGCCGGAAACAAGCTGGCCATGCAGGAATTCATGATTCTGCCCGTGGGAGCCAGCTCCTTCAAGGAAGCCATGCGCATTGGCGCGGAGGTCTACCACCACCTGAAGGGGGTCATTAAGGCCAAGTATGGGAAGGATGCCACCAATGTGGGTGACGAGGGTGGCTTTGCACCTAACATCCTGGAGAACAATGAGGGTCAGTGCTCACTGGGGTGATGAAACTCCTGGGTTTCCACAGAGAGGAGGGCTGCAGAGATGGGGCTACTGGAGCCTTAGGTCCTCTCTTGATCCTCTCCTAGCCCTTGAGCTGCTGAAGACAGCCATCCAAGCAGCAGGGTACCCAGACAAGGTGGTGATCGGCATGGATGTGGCAGCTTCAGAGTTCCATCGTAATGGGAAATACGATCTTGACTTTAAATCACCTGATGACCCCGCACGGCACATTACTGGGGAGAAGCTGGGGGAGCTGTACAAGAGCTTCATCAAGAACTATCCTGGTGAGGACCCCTTCTCCAATGCATTGCTCCTTCCCGAGTCCCCAGCAAATGCCTAACACACTGACTCCACTGCCCTCATTGTGACCTCTGCAGGTCCTTCCAATCCTTTGCCCTATCACAATCTCTACCCAAAGTCTTTTGACCTGTCACCCCTCCATGAGGCCCCTTCTATCCTCTGACCTCTGACTCTACTTTCCACCTCACTAGTGGTGTCCATTGAGGACCCCTTTGACCAGGACGACTGGGCCACCTGGACCTCGTTCCTCACGGGGGTCAACATTCAGATCGTGGGGGATGACCTCACAGTCACCAACCCCAAGAGGATTGCCCAGGCCATTGAGAAGAAGGCCTGCAACTGCCTGCTGCTGAAAGTCAACCAGATTGGCTCGGTGACCGAGTCCATTCAGGCGTGAGTTCATCCTGGCCGTGGGGCTCACTGTAGCCTCCCTCTGTCCCAGTTATTCCAGCTACAACCTCGCCCACTAACTCTAAATCCATCCATCTTTCTCCCGGCACCCGACCCACCGGCCGCCTCCTGACTTCAAGGCTAGTTAAAAGCCCTTGGCCTGACTGCAAGGGCTTTGCCATTGTGAACCTGCCATGCCCCATCCTCCCACCCCATGTCATTCCTCTCTCCGATTTTGCCGTTCTTCCCTCTGGCATCTCAAGAGGCCAAATTCAAGATTAGCAATCTCCCCTTGCCTCCTACTTCCCAAAGAACCCAAAGTCTACTCTACTTTGTGCCCACTGCATTGTTGGGCAGCACTAGCCAAAGCTGAAGGGGAAAAGCCCCACCAGCCCGACCACTGAGGAGGTCCTGTGAGGCCTTACCAAGTTGTCTCTCTATTCAGCTGCAAACTGGCTCAGTCTAACGGCTGGGGGGTGATGGTGAGCCACCGGTCTGGGGAGACTGAGGACACATTCATCGCTGATCTCGTGGTGGGGCTGTGCACAGGACAGGTACTCAAGGCTCTCCTCTCCTGAACGTCTGACCGGGTTTTTCTGGGGGCCTTGACCTTGAGTTGAATACCCCCATAAGCCACTCTCTTGGGGCTAGGCCCTGTACCTCTTCTACAGCCCCACCTCACACTATGAATTCCTTTTCACTTCTCAGATCAAGACTGGTGCCCCCTGCCGCTCAGAACGTCTGGCCAAGTATAACCAGCTCATGAGGTACTGTGGGTCCAGTGGGTCTGTGGAGCTGAAGGCTTTTGGGCTGGGAGGCAGCAGCTTTGACTTTCTCCGCCTTCTAGGATCGAGGAGGCGCTCGGGGACAAAGCTGTCTTTGCTGGACGCAAGTTCCGTAACCCAAAGGCCAAGTGAGAAGCTGGAGACTCCAGGTCCCCACCGGACAAATGCAGGCCCTGGAGCCTTTGCCCTGAAATAAACACTGGTGCCAACCAAGACAGTACTGCTTCTTTGTGGGAGGGAGGAGGTGTTAGTCTGCGGGCTAGTAAGATGAAAGGTGGAGAGGTGGGGGCAGGAAGGGGAGGCAGAGAACAGATGTAACCTCCTAGAACTAGGAAGTGGGGGACTCAGAGAAGAAGTTGGGCTGGATCTAGAACGAGAGTTCACACTTTTGAGAGGAGGTTGGGGGAAGCAGTTTCCACATGTGAATGAAGCTGACAAGACACTGAGGGAGTAGGGAGCCAGCTTCCAGAGAAGGGGAGCAAGGCTTGGGGACCGAGGGTCTGGACCCCACAAGGGGTGGCGACCGAGGGTCTGGCTGCAGTGGAAGCAGCTTGATGAGCTCCGTCCATACGGTGAAATTCTGCAGCGTGCTATGGAGGAGCACAGGCCACAATGCTTCGTGAGGATGAGAGCAATGGGAACAGCTACCACTTCCGTGGAACTTCCAAGGATCTAGAATGGTTCTAAATGCTTGACATATGTGACCTGTGTCATCTCTGAAACAACTCTATCAGATAGGTACCATTGTTATCCCCTTTCATGAGTGAGGAAACAGAGGCAAAGAAAGGTTAAGTAACTTATTCCAGTTAATAGAGTTAGTAAGTGGCAGAGCCAGGTGCAAGCCAGGCCATTTGATTCTAGTGACTGTGCTCCTGAAACACTGTATTGTATAAAACCAGTATCTGGCCATCTCTGACCTACACAAACAGCAATTTTATGCGGCTTCACCTAAAATGATTCCCCTTCCTGCCAATGGCTCAAGGACCCACCTTTCTCTATACAAACAAACCAGGACATGGGGTCAAACAGTGTTTATTGAATGGGAAGTAACCCCATGGGGAACAAAAATCCAAGGAGAATGGAGAATAATACAGATTAAATACCCACCTGTGCAGTCACACTCTTGCACACACATACACACGTGCACACATACATACACAAACCACACACATATCCAAGCTCCAACAGTGACATCAAACACCTGCTTGTCCCCAGCCTGAGTGAGAGCTGGAGGGACATGGTTCAGAGGTGGGGCTCCAGGATGGGTTCTAATAGCAGCAGCCTTGTTCCTCCCTGCCCTACCCCAGGGGCCAAAGGGAGCTGGGGTGCCTAGGAGGTAGGTGGCAACTCTTCCCCACTCTGCCGTAGACGCTTCTTGGCTCGGATCTCATTCATGGCTTCTTCAATGGAGCGTGTGTCCCTCTTGTTGGCCACAGGCACTGGGGGCAGCAAAGAGGAGGGCTTAGGGGCTCTGCATCTTGGCCTCCACTCCCTTCTCCCCACATCCTGTGCTCTTCTCCCAGCCCTGCCCAGCCCCTACTGAGGCCTCACCACAGCCATAGGTCTTGTTGGCCTGTAGCATGTGGGCAGCATCCTTGGCTGCCCCCTTGCCGATGAGGTGGCTGTACTTGTCCTTGTAGTCGCTGGCAGGGCTCACCACCACAGGTCCCTGGTGGGCTGCTGCTTCCTCCTCCCGCTGGGCCAGCTCCTAGGAGTGCAGAGGTAGGGCACCAACGCTCAGGAGCTTGACCCCAGCCCCTTGTAGGCGGCAGGCTGCAAGTTCCCAGGGATGGTCAATATAGCTCACCTTCAGCTTCCGTTTCTCCTCAGCCTTCTGGGGGTCCCACTCCTCTCCACGACGGTAAGACTCCAGCTCTTCATCTGAGGGTGCGAACTCCTGAGGAAGTAGGTGACAATGGAGCACGTCCCGTATGAGTGTTTTCTCTCACTCCTTTCCCCCAAGGAGGGTAGGTACAGGGAGAGGAAAGACTAAGGACCTCAGGCCTTTCACCTTTTTGAAGATCATGACATAGCGACACTCATCATCTTCCCCGAAGGAGAAGGATGTCAAGCCAGCCACTTCTACCACATCGTGTCTGGAGAGGGAGGGCAGAGAGGGCAGAACCTGTTGAACCAGGGGGTTCTATGCTCTCCTCTCAAGGACCCCCCAGCTGGCCCTTCCAAGCCACCCTAGCTACCCATGTCCTGCCTCCCGGGCCCTGGGACACTCACAAAATGCTCCTCTCTATCTTGTTCATCGGCTGAAACTTTTTCTTGATCTGCCCACTGTCTTGGATGAAATCTGACACCTCTTTCTCCATCTCCGGAGAAGAAAAAAGAAAGAAGATATAAGATGATGGCTCCCACCCAACACCCCTCTCCCCCGACTGGACCACCAGGCCTTCTTGACCTCCCCACACCTTTCCTAGGCTCCATGCCACACTGGCTTTCAGGCTTCACCTCTCTCAAGACATTGTCAAGAAAACTGAGCCCTCAACCTTCCAATTCTAACTGTAAGGATGCCCTTCCTGAAGGCTGCCTTTGATCTCTCCAATTGTTCTCACCCTTTTACGAAATTCCACTTTCTGTTGTTTCTCTTGCTCCTGTAGTTTCTTCAGACGGGCAGCCTGCTCTGGGGGTGAGAAATGGCAGCATGAGGCCAGGGCTGGAAGCATGAGTGGGGGCAGTCTACAAAACTTCAAGGGAAGCCACCGGGAGGTGTCCAGCTGGGACAGTAGGCCTGTTTATTCACTAAGCATTACTGGTGTGTACTATGTACCTGGCACTGTGTTAGGCCCTGGGGTATAAAGAGAATGATTAAGTGGCAGCCCTGTTCCTCAGGAGCTCACGGTTCAGTGAGAGTGACAAAGATTAGAATCCCAACCCCGCTGGGGAAACCAACAAACACTTATTTAATGCCCACGACATAAAAAGGACTATAGAAACAAAGAATTTGGGGAGGTGAGGAAAACAGACTAAGCCCCTGGCCTCAAAGAGTTTATCATCTCACAGTCTGCCGAGCAGGGAGGAAATTATTTAACTTCCTATATTTTGTAACAACCCCTACTTCCTACTTCTACTAGGCAGGATGAAGCTGAAATGGCTAGTCTGACACCCTTCTCCTTTGAGAGGGGAGGTGTCCACCATAGCTGCAAAGGAACACATCACCCTTACCATACCCTTCTCCTCTCCCTTACATCCCACCTCTGCATCCCCTCCGCCTCTTGGAGCCGGGGTGCTGTGGAGAGTACAACGGTACCTGGGCCCTTCACACCTGCCAATCTTCCCCCACTATGTGATCTTGTTGTCCTGGAGCTTTAAGCTTGTAATTCTTCCTGCTCCTGCTCCTCAGCCTGCAATACCCCTTCTCCTCTCTTCTGCCTTTTCAAATCCTTTAAATCTTTAAAGCCCACTTCTTCCACAGGGCCTGAATCCTTCCAGCTGCAATGGACCTCTTCCCATTTTCCTAATCACTCCATGCCTTTGACTATGATGTTCCTTCTGCACGGAATGGTTTTCCTCCTTTCGTAAACTCTGAGACCTGCCATGAGACAGTTACTCACTTCTGCCTCCCAGTTCCAAGAGTGTTTGTTTCAGATACCCACTCCAGCATGTGCCCAGAACCAACATAATGTAACTTTTTATTGACTTGTCTTCCCTACCACATTGCCAACTCTCTAAAGGCAGGGATCCCCTCAAGGTCCTGGGGCCTGACAGTCTAGAACCACCAGGTGAATGAGCTCTCACCTCTCTGACCTCCAGAGCACTTATCTTCAGTTCAACACACCTGGTCACTGACTGCTCCTCTAACTGGTTTCTGAGTCCTCTCTTTCCACCTGGGGATGTGGCATGAGATTATGGTTAAGAACCCAGGCTCAAAAGTTACACCTTTGAAACCTGCCACTTACTAACTGTAAGCGCCCCGTTACTTCAAACAAGTGACTAACCTCTGAACTTCCGTTTTCTAGTCTGTCAAGGGCGGCTAGTGATCCCCACCTTGCCAGATGCGGTGAGCATTATATAACCCCAAGTTCCCCGTTCCCATTATGTCCCCTCCTTCCTCAGAGCCCTCTGCCTGTAACACTTAGCTCCCTCTTTACTCGCTGTATTACCTAGTCTTCAGATCTCGGCCCACCGGACCACTGTAAGCTAGGCTGGAAACCCCAAGTAGACAATTATTTCTCTTTCACAGCATTTATCAAGTTGGTTATTAAACGTCTGTGTGATCGCTTCATCAGTGCCCATCTCAGCCCCAGACTGTGGGCTCCTTGAGGGTACTCCTGGCCCTCAGCGCACAGCAGAAAGTCAGTAAATGATGTATGGTATTTGGATATTAAGCAGCCCTTACGGTCTTTGAAAAGAGTTCTGGCAGCGCATTGCCTAAGGCACTGGGCTGCTACCAAGAAGGTTCGCGGTTCGAACCCACCAGCCACTCTGCCGGAAGGAAGTCCGGGGCAATCTACTTCCGTAAAAATTTACCGCCTCGGAAACCCAATGGAGGTCGCTATAAGTTGGAATCGACTTGATGGCAGTGGGTTCCGTTTTCAAGTTAAGGTCTTTGAAAGCACTACGCCTGCCCGGCCCGCTTCTGGCAAGTGGAGACTCGGTGCTGTGGCATGACTCGTTCTCCGTCAAACCCCGAGGCGTTGGGAGCTGGGGTGCTCCACAAAGCAGTCATTCTGCCAGCCTCACTCATACGCCGCAGCGCGAGCACCCCGAGGCGGCCTGGCCTACCCGCGAGACCGCGCTCAATTTCCGGGGGTCGCCTGAAGGGAAGTTCCGCAGAGAACTCAGGCGGGGAGACTATGGCCAATGGGACGAGGTGGGCATTCCCATCCCTCCAATCAACATCATGGCCCCTCGGGAACTTTAGGTTACAGATGGGAGGTGGGGCATAATGGTACCAAGAGGACCCCAGCAACCAATTGGAAGTGCTAAGGCCGGATGGGTAAGAAGAAAGGTCGAATAAGATTTGATAGGTAGCCTTTAAATGGAGAAAGGAGGTATGGTGTCGCAGTGGCTAAAGCATGCGGATGCTAATCAATAAGGTTCATGGTTCCAAACCACCAGCTCTACAGGAGAAAGACGAGGCAGTCTCCTTCTGTAAAGATTTACAGCTTTGGAAACCCTTTGGAGCAGTCCTATAGGGTCGCTGTGAGTCGAATCGACTCAATGGCAATGGGTTTGGTTTGTTAAGTTGAGATAACCAATGAAGGTGAAAGGATTGTGAATGGGCATGCCCTGAATCCAATTGGAATACATACGGGGTGCGGGGACACACGGACTGGGGAGGTAGGTGAAGCCGAGGGGCGGTCGAATATGCCCTCCCCCCAATCCGACGAAGGGACGAAAAATACGAAAGAGATAGGTGGGGTCGGAGGCAGCCAACCAATCAGAGCACGACATCACCGGACAGGCAGGTCCATTGACTAATTGAAAACAAGGACTACGAAAGACAGGGGGAAGCGGCGGCCAGAGGGCGGAGCTAGGCTTCGGGTAGCCAATCGTTGTTCGCAAAGAACAGCGGGCGGGTCTGTAACCCTTTTAGGGACCCTGGGGGGCTTGGAAGGGGCCTGCGAGGGGTCTTTCAAGGTTGAGGAGGCGGCATCGTTCAAAAAGGGAAGATTGCGGTCCTGAGAACCGGGCGAGGAAAGGCAGCTGTGAATTTGGGAGCCTCACCTCGAGCCTTGCGCCGAGTCTCCTGGTCACCAAGGCTGGGAGGCTTCTCCATGGAGCTCAGGATGGAGCCCAGTAGGTCCGCCATCTTGGGAGAGACTGAGAGGAGGCGGCGCGTCTTAAAGGGAAAGGCGAAATGCCTTTAAGGCCGGAACTACGTCGGAGGCGAAAAACCGTGCTCCCGCCCCGCCCTATCGGGCGCGGCTCCTAGGCCCGCCGTAGTCGCTGCTTTCGAGCCGGCGCTGACCCCACCTCCCGCCCTGCGCGGTCCCGCCCCCGCAGACAGAAGCAGGAGGCTGGCTGGTGCAGCGATGTTTAATGGCAATTTGTATAAACCAAGCCCATGCACACGTAGAAAGTGCTCTTGGAGCCGGCCAGAGCCCCCCGCCGCGCCAGGGAACCACAAGCCCGGCCGTGTAGCCCTCTCCGCGGCGCCTTAAATAGATTCTTCACTATACTCTGTATGGTACATTATGTACAAGCCCCTTCCCCTCCGGGGATGGGCGGGGTTCCGCAGCGCGTTCCTATATACACCCCCTTTCCTTTGGCCCCGAGGTTGGTGGCCAGAGTCGGGGTGATGGAGGAAGACGGGCAGAGAAGGAGGGAAACACACAAACGTGCGGAGCCAGGTGGGGGCGTGATCAGCCCTGAAACACGAAGGGAACCCGCAACGAAGGCAATGGTGAGGACCGAGGTGGATACATTCAGAGACGCGTCAAACAAATAAATAAGGCAAGTCAAGGAAGGGGCTGAGTCGGGTGCAGGCAGGGAGGGCGCTGTGGAGGAGGGGCAGGCAGGACTCCATAGATCACAGCTGAAGATGCAGGTATGTGGGGTGCAGGTCTTTGGGAGTCAGGAGCCGAAAGGAAGGGGCGACCAAGGTGTGAAGAGCGAGGGGCGGGAGTGGAAGTTAAGCACTTCGTAGAAGGAAAGAGTGGAGACCTGTAAAGGGCTCCGACGAAAGTTAAGGGGGCAAAGCTGCCAACTGGGAGCTCCCCTTCCCCGAGACAGCCTCTCCCTGTTAAGACTGCAAGAAGTGCCCCAGGATGGTGAGAGGCTGTGGAGAGGTCAAGTGGCCAGTCCAGGTTGGGGAAGCCCTTCCAGCTCCTGGTTCTGTTTCAGTTCCCTCATCCTGCAGAGAGACAAGGAAGGAGTCAGAGGAGACATGGGATGATGGCGGTGCCAGAGCAAGATGCCAGTAGGAGAAGGGCGAGTACCTGTGTCGGCAGCGCCGTAGGAATCTCATGATCTTCCGGGCTGCCTGGTCCTGCTTCTTGGTGAGAAAGGAGCTTCTGGTGGAAGAAAGAAAAGATGGAGCGATCTCATGGAACACCCAGGCATCCCTGCCCTCAGCCCCTGGGGAACTCTAGCAGGGAAGGGCAGGATAATGAGCAGCAGGGTATTGGAGGCCATAGAAAGTAGACATGGCTCAGTGGGTAGGCACAGAGGGCTAGGAGCTGGGGTTGCTGAGACCGTACTTGCTCCGAGCAGGCAGGGTCCCTGTGGGCCGGTGGGGAGGCCCCGGGCGGCGGCGGTAAGAGCGGTAGTGCTGTTGGATGAGCACGGCTGCTCGGCGGCTCTGCTGAAATCGCTTCTGTTCATAGTAGCTTCGGAACTTGCTCTGGATCAGGATAGCTGCTTGGGTCATCTTCTTATAGAGTGCAAACTGCAGGAATGGGGAGAAAGGACTGGCTGAAATGGAGATACAGAGACCCAGACCCCTGCAGGTCACCCCCAAATGCAGTTGATACGCATCTGTTTCTCAAACCCACAGGCTTACGGGAAGACTGAATCACCACGGACACAACCTCACCCCCAGATCTCATGCCTAATACCTTAAGTGCAATCCAGGTCAGCTTGTGGAGAGAGAAGGGGAATTAAGCTCCGGCAGCATCCTGGATGCTCTGGGCTGGGGTGTGGGTGTGGGCATGTTTTCAAGAAAGAAGGGGCTCACCTGTTTGTACTTCCGGTAACAGCGCTGGATCACAGCTGCTGCCACCTCCTGTTGCTCCTTCAGCCGCCGGCCCTGGGGGGAAGAGAAGTCTTACCACTAATGGCCCACCTGTTCCTCTGACGGACATCTGACCTCTGCCTCCAACTTGCGGGGGATCCCCAACTCTTCATCTCATCTAAGACCTGTCTGGATGACTGCTCTCCCTCCCAAGAGTCCTGGGGGTCGTAGTCTCCCCTCACTCAAGACTGTAACTTATCCCCTGCGGATCCCAGCCCCCTGACCTTATACTTCCGGAAAGCCGTCTGAATGACTCGGGCTGCTTCATACAGTTCCCGCTGCTCATGATCCGATAATGTCAGCAGGGCAAAGTCACTCTCCATCTTGCCACTGGCAGATGCGGAGAGAAACTCTGCCCAGGAAGGTGCTGGAGGGATAGCCAGGCGACCCCGCTCAAAAGGCAGTTCACTGCAGGGGATGGGGAGAAGGGCTGTCATAGAGCACCTGCAGTCCTTCCCCTCCTGGGGATGAAGGGAGACTTCCAGCAACAGAGCCTGAGAGAGTGGCCTCAGAGTTCAGAAGCCAGCTATAGTTCCCTTCTCAGGGCCTCGGCCAAAATAGAGCTTGGGCTGTGGGAAGCCTCCTTCCTCCTTCCCTCCCATTTTCCTTTGAAAAAGAATCCTGAGGCTTTGTCCCAAGCTGGTCACCTGGGAGGGGCTGAACTGGGGAAATGGTCCACATTCTCCAGGTAGCTGGCCAGCCAGGACATGGTCTCACTGAGCCCCACGGCCCCTGTTCGCTCTCGCAGTGGGGCTCCTGCCTCTGGCAGCCCCACAAAGTCTTCCTGTTTAATCCGCTCTGGTGTGGCTTCAATGATCTGCTTGGCCAGGGAGATCATGTCCACCTGGATGAAGGGGGAAGCTGGGTGAGCCCTGAGGGGCCCCAACAACCAGAGGTTTCTGCCCTGTCAGCTGTAGCCTCATTCTACTCTCTCTCTCATCCTCTCACCTGCTTTCTCTCAGACTGCTCTCCCTGCTAACTGTATTTTTCAGCCACTGTTTTGACTCATTCGTTTGCACTTAATCGGGCTCCCACTTGGGGGTACAGCCCTCTGTATTGAGAAGTTGTGGACATACAGGGGAGGAAGGACATACTCCAAAAGGGGTCTGAGGAGCTAAGCAAATGAAGGAGTTCATTGCCTTTCCATGTCAGCCACCACCGTGCACCCAAGTTTGCCCCATGCCCACCAACTAGCACAGGCTGTGCCCATGGCACATTCTCTCCATGAAGGCCCCCGCCCCTTCCGCTCGCCAAGAACCAGCCTTGCTGACCATATGTGGTCCCACTGAACGGCTCTAGCCCTGAATGCTGCAGCACTTTCTGCTGGCCACACTCCTTGTGATGGTCTCGAATTCTGTGAAACTTCCTTTGCTACCCTATTAATCCATTAACATCTCTAAAGCAGTTATGTCCCCAGGCTATGGCAGAGAAGTGGGTGCATCTGAAGAGTCCCTCACTCACTCATTCTATAAGACTTTCTGAACTTTTACCCTGTGTAAACTTATTGCCACCCCAGATCACTGCCATATACCTCCATCTTGCCAGCCTCTCTCCTCACCCACCCCCAGTTGCCCTCTATCACCCTGGCTCCCCAAGAACCTTGTTCCTTTATGGATTAACAGCTAACTGATAGATACCACTACAACCTAGCTCTAATTGAAGATAATGTTCCAGAATTTTTAACCTCTGATGCCACATGACTTCCGGATCACAAGGCCTGAAAGGAGCAAAGGGTTACTCTGTCTCAAAATGAGGGTGAATGGCCCTTTCCCAAACAAAAGGCAGAATGATTCTGCCTCATGGATCATCTGCCGCAGCCCATCTCTCTACCCCATTCCATGTGTAGCCCTCCTAATCCCATAACTGTAAACACTACCGGGATCACATCCACAGTGGATGGGCTGTCATCTTCCTCTGGAGCAGCCGCATCATCTGGGGCTGATGGAAGAGGACGAAGTGAGGGCTGGGGCCCTTTGAGACTGGTAGCCTCATAGTCCATGAAGAGTAGGGGGGCCTCTGGGGCACCAGAGGAGAGCTGGCCTGGGGCCATGTCCTCCATAGTAACTGCAGAGGCTGGCAGAGGAGCAGGGGGAGGACTGCCATCTGGGGCACTAGAATAGGCCGATGTGACAGAGCAGGTGCCATCTGACAGCTCCGAGGGCGAGGAGACGCTGCTCAGGCCTGTGAGGGTGAGGGTAAAGGAAGAGCATGAGGGCTGCAGCAGTCACCTGCCACCCTTCAAATCTTTGTCCCCATCCTTGTTCTCAATCTCCCTGTCTGCCCTTGCCACTATTATCTCTTACCCTCTCCTCCTCAGTTTGCCACCTTCTCTCCCACTCTTTGTTTCCTACCCTTTGGCTTTGCCTTGTTCTATCTTCACACCTACATCACTCTCAAAAAGTTCAGGGGCAGCCCTCACCAGTGTCTGGGCTGGAGGAGGGTGGTGATAGGGCAAGTGGGGGCTCAGCGGAAGCCTCCTGTCTCTGCAGTTCCTCGAGGCAGCGGGCAAGGCGCACGTGACCCCGGGAATGCGCCACGGAGAGGGGCAGGCGGCCCAGAGAGTCAGGAATGCTCAGCGCCTGTCGGTTCCAACGGAAGAGGAGCACAGCAGCTTCCAGGTGTCCCAGGGCACAGGCCCACATCTGAAGAGCGGGTAGGGAAGAGGGACAGGAGAAGGGGGGTGAGGACAGAGTGAAGGTAAGGCCTGGCCCCTTCTCCGGGTGGCCAGGGTTTCGGTCCCAGCCCTCCCACTCTTCCCCTGCATCCTTCCGAAGCCTGTTCTCGGTTGCACTGTTCCCGCTGCCACGGGCCCAGGTGTACTCAGGAGTCCAGCATCCTCACCAGAGGGGTGCAAGAGAAATGATCCACGTTGAGCGGGTCAACCTCTTGCTCTAAGTCCAAGCTTCCGGTCTCTACACTCCTGTGGGGTTTGGGAGAGGGATGACAAAGCCCAGTCAGGGAAAAAGTAGGCCAAGTAGAAATACCCAAAAGTAAGGGGACTGGGAAGCAAGCTGTCCAGAAGCACTAAGGCCAGTGGAATGAGGCAGTCAAGAGATTCCCACACATAAGGAGATGAAGAAGTTAGTGTCAAATCCTATTTCCACCCCACCTCCTTCCCACAGTGGCCCCAGTTCCCTCTTGGCAGGGCTCCAGGTCCTCCAGTTTCTCCTCAGTCCCCTGGCACTTCTGTCCCAGAGGCTGCCCAGCCCCCTCCCTGCTACCCCTGCTCACCGCCAGTGGCTCAGGGTCTCAATGAGGCGGGCGTAGCCCTGGGCAGCAGCCAGGTGCAGAAGGCTCATTCCTCGGAAGGGGCTTCCATGGGCCAGGCGTTCAGGACCCCTCCAGGTGGAGCGTGGGATCATGCTCTCTACCAAAACCACTACTCGTGCCTCGAATCCAGGCCCCTGGCCTTCATCCTGCGATACACACACCCTTATGCAGAGTCTGGCCTCAGCTTGAGATGGCCTTGGCCATCCATCTGTCCTCCCAGCTTCTGACTGCCCTAGCCGTGCCCCCCGCCCTAAACCTTGCCGCCCACTTTTTACTCCAGGTTCCCACCACCAGGACCTCTGACAGCCCATCGGCTCTCCTGGTTTGACTTCCTGTATCGCCTCGCCGTGCCCCACTCCCACAGCCACCCTCCTCCAGCCCCTCCAGCAGCCAGGCCTCACGCCCCCTTGCCCATGTTGTGCTTTCACATTTGCTCAGATTAGCAGCACACCCACAGATGGCTTCTTCCCTTCGGAACTCGGGGTTCCTCTGAGCCTTTCTCTAGTGTTCTTCCTTCAGTGACAAGGGACCCTCAGGGTTTTGAGTCTCTACTCTCTTGATCCCCTCCCCCACCCTCTCCTTACCTCCACCCTTCTTCAGACCAGAAATAGTCTGAAGCTTATCATGCCAAGAGGGTGCCCAGAATAGCCACTCTTGCCACGGGGTGGGGGTGAGAGCAGGGTGACGTCAGGGAGAAGGAAGCACTGGCTGAGGAGGATGGGACAGGAGAGTGAGGAGGGTCATACACTAGAGCCATTTTTTTAGGGAGACCCTGCCCCTGTTCCCTACCTCAGACCTCCCTACTGGAAGTACCTGGATTGGAGGAATGTCAGGACCCTGGCACGGCGCCTGCCCAGCCGCTGCAATCTCGGCCATCCGCTTCTCCATCTGCTCCAGCCGCTCCAGTATGGACATCCGGAACTGGTTGTCTGAGGGGAGTGGGGATGGGAGGCTTAGTGGGCAGGGCATAGGTGGTGCTCTGGACGCTCAAACTGAATCTGTCCCAAGATCTGTGAGGTGAAGACACAGAATATCTTCTTCCCCAAAACAACTCCTTTACCTATACACCTTCTAAATAAAACCCACCAGGACTCAGTTCTCAAATCATGGCTCTTAGTGCTATCCACTAACTCAACCCGAATTCAAACTGTGACAATTTCCTTGAAGACACAAAGATGGTAGGAATTCCCAAACAGCCATGTAGACCCCATTCGCCCCAAATCACAATAGACAGCTGCCTTTTCTTAGGTATAACATTCTGTGGGTTCTCCTTGCCTCAGACACTACCTCTGTCTCCCATGCTAGGCCTGAAGGACTCCAGAGTCCCTCTCTCTGTTAACCACTGGCCAAAAGAACTCAAGGACTGAGATTTGAAAGCACTGCCCCCTCCTCCTGGCCCCCTGCAGCTGTCTACAAAAAGGATTGGGGGGGGGGAAGGTGACAGAGATGAATAGCCACCGCCTCCCCTCCTACTCCCCACACAAATACACGTAAGCAAGTGCACACTCACATACACGCATGCACCGAGCTGTATCTCTCCCGTCCTGAGAGCACACAGGGACAAGGAGGGGCGGTGAGAGGGGATCAGAGCCATGGGACAACAGGCACAGAGAAAGGGGTGGAGGTTGGATATGTTCTGAGATGCCAGGACTAAAGAAGGCAGAGGTTAGAAGGTGATGAAGGTTTCAAGATGATGGTGGGGGGTGGGGGTGGAAAATGATGGGCAGAAACCCAGGTATAACAGAGAGGAGAGAGAGCAGAAAAGGTAAGTGAAGGGAAGGACCAAAAGAGAATTAGAGTTGAGAACCAAACAACTAATTAAGAAAGGAAGAAGAAGGGCAAGGTGAGACACTGGGTCAAGAAGAAGTGGAAAGAAGAACAAAAGAAAAGACCCATAGGAGAAATGGTAAAACCAAGATGAGACGGGGACAGAAAAATAAGATGATGTATAATCACAGGGGAGGACAGGACAGGACAGGACCAAGAGACCTGGCAAGATCCAAAGGCAGACGGACTCAAGTCTGAGCGACAGGTGTCCAGCACACACTTGGGCTCTGCATAGCATGGGCACTTGGCAAGGGTGAGACAAACCAGGAGCAGGAGCCCCTGAGCTAGACAGATGTGGGCATGAAGGGAGACAAACTCATCAAGGCAACAGGAGAACTGAGAAACCAAGAGGCAACAACAGAGACACCAAGAGGAAGAAAAAGAAACACAAACCACAAAAAGAAGCAGGTACAGATGGAAACAGTTCTCAAAGTCACAGGGAGGGATAGTTCAGTACCAGGCACAAAAACAGCTCCAGATTTAAATAAATATTCCACAATATTAACAGTGGTAGATACCACTGAGTAGTAACATAGTATTTATTCTCTATGCCTTTCTATAATTCCCAAACTATCTGTAATGAGCACACTTATACTTACAGGGGAAAAATACAAGAACTTTAAATACATATGTAACTGTACACATACTCGTATGTACTGCATATATATATTGCCCTAGGCTTGCCCTGCCCCAGCCTCTTGGCCTTGCTTTCCTAGATCTGCCATCGAGTCGATCCCGACTCATAGTGACCCCTCCTCGGGTTTCCAAGGCAGTATCTCTACAGATTGAGAATGTACAGGACAGGGCAAGAACTTAGACAAAGGTGATTTATGAGGAAGAGGAGGTAAGGAAAGCTTTGTTGCTGCATTCAGAAATGACTGAGGAAATAGGAGTTGGGAGAAGAGTGGTAAACTGGGGGCAAGGCAGTAACCACCTGAACCCTGAGGGGTGTAGAGCCGCGTAACAAGGCTCAAAGGTTATGGGGCTGGATGGTTGGGGTCAGAGGGCTAGGTACTCACCGTCCAAGGACAACCAGTCAAGCTGAGTGCTAGGCAGCGACAGGAAACGGCGGGCTCGATACTCAAAGAGCACAGAGGCAGAAAGGGGCCCCTCCCGCCCTGCCACCTGTAAAGACACCAGCCCTACCTCATGGGCTGGGGAGGATGGTATCAGCAAGAAGGGTTTTCTCTCTCTGAATTCTTCACTGGCCACAAGTGTCATTTTATATGTGACACCCCCCCCACTCCCTTGCTGTGGTCCAAGAGACCCTAGTGTCAATGGCTTTGACACTATTGGGAAGAGATTCCATTTACTCAAAAACTTAATACCTACAATGGGCCAGAGACCCCCTGAATTTAGACCCTGTTGTTAAGGATGTTCACTATTCAGCTACAAGGCCTGGAAGCTGAGGGTCAAGAGATAACTATATTTTACAAACAAGCTGAAAGGGGAATAAATCCCTTTTTTCATCCTCTAAGATCAGAGTCCAAAGGTTATGACCCTGTTACTGAGTGGGTAAAAGGAAGACACTGTCGACTAACAGGAGGCATTTAGGTGAGCAAAGGAGTCTAGACAAGGGCTGTCCAATAGAACTCTCTGCAGTGATGGAAATGCTGTAATTGTCTGCACTATCCAATAGGGTAGCACTAGCCACATGTGGCTCTTGCACTCAAAATGTGGTTAGTGCAACTGAGGAAATGAATTTTTATATGTACGTTGAATTTTTAATATAATAGACTTTTACAGGGGTGGGGGATGTGGTTCATAACTACGACTCAGACTTTCATAACCTGAGGACTGACCGTATTTAGCAGTTTGTGTGTGCTTGGCTCCTGTGACCCCCATGTGACACTAAGGCTTTATTTGAATACCTAAAGGGCAAGGGAAACTGACTAATTCTCTCTTGGGGGTGAACTTGGGCCAGACCTCTACCAACTGATTTGGAGAATCATAATTTGCTGCATCTTACATAATAGATCTCCAAACTCAGTGACTCCTCCCAGTAGCCCTACATAGAGTCCCTGGGTGGTACAAAGGGTTAACATGCTTGTCTACAAACTGAGAGGTTGGACGTTCAAGTCCACCCAGAAGCAACTCAGAAGAAAGGCCTGGTGATCTACTTCTGGAGAATCAGCCGTTGAAAACCCTGTGGAGCACAGTTCTAGTGTGACATGTGGAGTCTCTACAAGCTGAAGTGGTAACCAGATGTCCTCGACTCAATTTTGCATCATGTGGCTATAATCTTATGGGAGAAGATTGCTAGGTCTTCTTCTGATGAGAAAAGGAATTTTTAATTTAAATTCAAATAGCCACACATTGGACAGTGTATGTCTAGAAGCCATGGGTCTTCTAGTCCTAAGACTGGTCAGGAGAGAGCAACATCTCTCACTTCTCATTTTCCCAAGAACTCACTGAACCAGAGTCAGAGGCTCTTACTCCAATTGAGCTAGAGAGCTGGGGTAGATATTAGCAATCCCTTTGGCCAGATGTCTGACCTTACAGGAGGGGAGGCCAGGGATGCAAGAAAGGAGCTGACTTATCCTTGGTCACTAGGTAGCTAATGAGTAGATAGAACCTAGATGTCTTGACACCTAAGCTCAGGCTTATCCACCTGCTGGGGGAATAGAACCTGGGGCTCAGCCTCCAGACTGGAGGCGATCCTTGTCCTCTCAGGAACAATGCAATGCCATTTATCCCCAGAGCTTCCCTTCCTCTACTGTTCCCAATCCCCATACCAGGACAGTAGCAGCGTAAGACACCAGGCTGGACAAGTGAAGCTGGCACTGCAATGTGGTCAAAGACACAGGAGTAATGCTCGGTGGCCTCCGTCCACGGACCCGTGATGAGCACCTTGACCCCACCCTGCAGACATAGCAGAGAGTCAAGCAAGGGGAAGGGCTGTTGGGTGTTCAGACCCTTAGTATCTACTGCATGCCAGGCTCTGCACCAAGGTCTGGGGTTAGGGTCTAACAGGAGGCATCAGCTTGTTGATGCCTCCTCCCCTACATTCCTGCCGAGTGGTTACCTCATCTCTATCTGAATCTGCCAGAATGGGGGAACTCTCACTGCTTTCCCCAAGGCTAACTCATTTGCAGAGAGCTCTCAGCAAGAGGAAGTTCTTTCTTTGGCTCATTTGTCCCCACTGTAGTTCCTCCTTTACCTATCGGGGCAACGAAGAACAGAACTTCTTGCCACTGCTGGAGACAGTCAGGTAACCCAAGGTCTGCAATCACACCCAGCTATGTGTTCTTTTCTCTAGGCTGAAAAGCCCCAGTTCCCTCCCCTAGAAAACAGTTCACCAAGGGAATGAGCTCTCTGAGGGGCCTCTGTGGTCAATAAGGAGGAAGAGGGAGGAAGGGAACAACAGTTTAGATGGTGGTGGGTACTATGGAAACAGGAAAGAAACTATATGTGAAAACAGAGGTTGGGAAGAGAACTAAGAAGCCAGGGAAACTAGGTCACAGACCACTGGAGGGAAAGGGGCTATAGCTGATACAACTTATTTTGAGGATCCAGAAAACAGATGGGACCGATATGAGACGAGCTAGGCCCAAGACTCACCTCTGGGTAGGACCACTCTGGGGAGAAGTCTGTGATGGTGCTAAGGGCGGGAGAGAGCTGGGGGGCTGGGGCAGGGATGCTTGGAGCTTCATCACTGATGAGTTCTCCCATAAGGTCTGGGAATGATGAAAGACTGAAGGGTTCCAGTTCGCTGGCCCCACCAGGTCCTCCAAACAAAGCCTCCCCTCTTCCTGTCCTGCCCACTGGCTCTAGGGGGGCAGGTGAGGGTGGGGGTGAAGGAGGGGGTGAAGGTACAGGTGGGGCAGTCCCCTGGGCCTTGAATTCCTCCCCACCATCATCATCTTGGATGAAGAAACAGTTTCCTCTTCTCCCACCTGTTCCCGAAGGTGGAGGGAGACCCCGAGCAGCTGCCTGGGGTTCCAGGGCAGCAGCGGGCTCCAGGGCAGGACAGGGGACGTGCGCGGCCTCTGCCTCAGGGAAGTCTGGGCTTACTCCCTGCCCCCCTCCATATGTCTGGCCCCTCTGGGGGCTGTTGAGAAAACGATCAGGGTCAAAGGCAGGGCTGGGAGGAGCAGGTGGGGCAGAGGGCTCAGAGCCCACAACTACAGCCAAGCTCATGGAGGGCCTGGGATCACCCTGGGGAGCCAAGTGCCTGGTGGGGGTCAAGCCCCCAGTCCGCTGCTCCAGTCCCGTCAGCAGGAGAATAGCAGTGCCTCCTCTGGAGGAACCTCCTCGGGAGGTAGGAGGGCTCGCTCTGATTTCTAGGGGCTCGGCAAAGCCTGAGGAGGAGGAAGAGGAGGAAGAAGAAGATGGGGAGGTGTGTGCCTTGGGGAGCTCTGGGGGAAGTGGAGCTATCAGTGGAGGAGGCTCTGGGGGGTGAGGGTGTGGGACAGAGGTCAAGGTTAACGTTTGGGGCTCCACTTTGGGGGAGATGATGCGGTGTTTCGTGCTGCTGCATTTGTGGGTAAGGCTCCCAGAACCTGGAACAGAGAGGGGTTAGAAGGGGTAAGAAATCTTTCTCTGGCCTTCCTCGACTGGACCCAAACCCACTGCTGTCAAGTTGGTACCAACTCATCATGGCCCTAAAGGGCAGGGTAGAACTGCCCCATAAGTATATAAATATTTACAGAATATTCCCAAGGAGCAGAAGGTTGGAACCTCTGACATTTTGGCCAGCAGCCAACCACTTAACCACTGCTTCACCAGGGCTTTTTCCCCTGTTGGAAGCTTTCATCTATTCTGAGATTTTGCTACAGAACAGAGGTGTAGTACTGATTGTGGCCACTGGGAGGCAGCAGAGGTTTCCCCTCTCCCCCATCACACCTCTCCTGGACAGACAGATCGACCGACCGACCGACCAACCAACCGACCGACCAACCAACCAACCAACCAACCAACCATAACTGAACAAGCACTGCAAGGGAGGACTGGGACTGAGGCAGTAGCTGAAATACATAAGGCCACAGAAAAAGACAAAGAGAAGAACCAAGGGGATGCCAACCGGTAAAAAGCTATGGCTGGTGCTGAGGAGGCCAAGAATTGCTAAGGGTGGAAGGCAGAATAGAACACAGGCTGCCAGGCCTCTGGAGTAAAAGGAATAAGAGCCACTATGCGCCCAGATGGGAGGGCCTCTGTTCACTCAGCCCATCTTTCTGGGATGTGCAAAGGACTTGCAAATCAACATGCAAATCCCACCACTGATTCCCCTAGGCTTGAGTAAGAGCAGTATGGACATATGGGAAGAGAAAGCTAGAGTCAGGGGTCACTAACCAAGGCCCCCACTGCAGAGACAGGCATGAGTTCGGGGTGCAGGCTTGGTCGGGTGGGTGTCCAGGATCTGCTGCACCAGCTGTTCCACAGAGAACTCCTCTGCCCCGTTCCCACAGCTCCACTTGATGCCATGAACTAGAGGAAAGTTGTGGAGAAGTGCTGTGGGAACCCCACACAACAGCCCCCAAAGTACCTTGATGGCTCCTCCCAGCTCCAAGGCTCCTGGCTGAGGGAACTGATGCTGGCAGCCTCGAGAGTGCTTGGACATGTCGGTCACAGGTGTCCCTTCATATTGCACCTGGAAACGTACCAGGAACCCTAACACCCCCGGCTTGGCGGAAAATGGTCACTGCACAGGCTGCTGGGTCTAGAGGCCTGGCCCCTTGGAGGGGCCCTGTTCCCATGCTCCCCATGGAGCTCTTCCCCAGCCCTGCCAGCTTACACATAGGCTTCAGCTGTCCCAACAGCTCATCCCGGGACCACTTCAGCCACTCTCGACGGTCGCTGCTGATGGAACAGAAGATGGGGCTGCAGCCCTTTCCGCAGTCTTCCAGGGCTGGGACGTTCAGATAGTGCACAAGGACGATGTCGGGGTTCTGAGAACACCAGGGTACACATACAGAGAATGGGAGGGCCTGAGGTCCAGGTGCTCAGCTTCCCAGTCCTCACTTCTTTCTGGGGCAACCCCCCAACCTCACCCCCAATTTCTGGCTTTCTCCATCCCCAGCTCCCTCACTTCTTCCCAATGTCCCTTCCCAGGTTAGAACCTAGCTACCCTCCCATTCCATCCTCTAGATCCCATTTCCCTCAAAGAGCCAGGGAGAGGAGTCCCCGCGCTTTTCTGTCCTTACCTGGAGCAGCCAGTAGCAGCGCCGATGGAATGTGGGGACGATGGAAGAGTGAACGTAGCAGCCATAGAGACACTGCCAGGAGACAGGCTGGGGTGGGGGGAGGGCTAGTCTGCTCCCCAACTCTTCCTCTGTTCAGTCCCTTTGCAGGAATCCCAATCTTTCCACCAGTTCTTCTTTGACCCTCTCCCCACTCCCACTTACTCCCCACCTCTTTCAAATGCCAACAGCCTGAGTCACAGATGACAGATGGAGAGAGAGGAATGGTGGGGCAGGGGAACTACAAGGAGGACCAAGTTTAAAATATCGGCCTTTCTAGAAACCAAAGGGCAGCGCAAGGATGCACTGGAGATAAGGAACAACGACTTGGGGAAGAGAGGTTCATTATCTGGAGCCCTAAGGGAAATGCAAGAGGAATGGGGGAACTGAGCACTGAGGGGGAGGTATGGCCTAAGTCCTGAAGAGTTGGGTCTTGGAGGGATACGGGAAGCAGACAGTGGACACCGACTCTTACCTCCATGCCCTGGACCTTCAGCTTCATGTGGTCCTCTCGGGTGGTCTTCCCATCCTTCCTCTTCTTCCAGAGGTAACCATCCTTCCGGTATTTCACCTTCTTGCGGTTGTAGAGGATGATGGAGCCATTCTGAGGCCTGGGGAGGGAAAGGCTGGCTTCAAGTTCTATGAACAGGACCTGGGACCCTTGCCACTCTCCACCTTTGTTAACTTTCTCACCTTGTCTTTGGGGCACAGGACAGCCACTCATCATGCTTCTCAAAGGTGATCAAGTAGGATGCAATCTCCTGTGGGAGAGACACTTGGGGTAGGTGTCCCCTTTATAAAGAGTCTCAGCCTGGCCTGAGTCATCTTTTTGGAGCCTTACTCTTACAGAGTTCTAGAAGCTAGTGGAGGATGCTTGCAGGCATCGACCCAGCAAGGACCACTGCCCTCCTAAAAATCCCAGGTTTCATTGCAGATGAAAATCTAACCTTCCCCTCTTCTCTTTTTCCCAACTGGTGTCTTTATCTTAGGGCCAGGTTCAAGCTCTTCATCACCCATCCTCACACTGCACATAATTTTACTCCCTCCAAATCCCAGTTTTGTGCTACCACCTGACTAAAAATACTTCAACGGTTTGGCACTGCCAATAATTCCAGACTCCTCAGCCCGAGTCTGAGATTTCCCCTGACCAGGGATCAAACCAGTGTCCTCACTGTTAATAGACATGTCACCTACCACTCCAGCGTGGTCCATGGATTCTTCCCTGAACATGTCCTGAACACTCACCCCCTGAATGGTAGTGTTCTATCAGTGCTATGTTCACAAATCTCCAAGTCTGGAGACCCTAGCCATTTGACAGACCAAGTCTCTTTCCAGATGTTCTACAAAGCCCCGCTGACCAGCATGGCCGTCCCTGGAGGCTCCATAGCACTTACAATAACCACACACACACACACACGCACACATCCGTTTACTGATGGCTCACCGCTAACATTAAATCAGTCATTATCAACGACTAACTACACGCAATGCGATGCGTGGGGGCGCACAGAAAGTGTCTAACACAAGGACTCTGTTGTCCAGAGAAGGCAATATCAGTGGTGGTTAAAAGCATGAATTCTGGAGTGAGGGAGATAAACCACATGAGGTCAATCGGTTTCCTCATCTATGTCATGGGGATAACAACATCATTACAAAACTAAATGAGATAATGCAGGTCAAGTGCTTAGCATAGTACCCGGGATGTAAGAAATACTTTATAGATGGTAGCTACTATTAATTATTACTTTGAACCCAAGTGTATATGCCAAGAAGTGAGCTCCTATGAAGTCCATGAGGAGCTCTGGTAGTGTAGTGCCTAAGGCATTTGACTGCTAACCAGAAGGCTGGTGGTTCAAACACACTAGCCACTCCTCGGAAGGAAAGTTGGGCAATCTACTCCCACAGTAATACTGTCTCAGAAACCCAAGGAGGGGTCACTATGAGTTGGATATGATTCGACGGCAGAAGAGTTTGGTTTTGGCTTATAATCCCCAAAGAGACTACAGCACTCAGGAGTGTCGACCTCCTTTCACCCTCCTCCGGCCCATGAGGTCCTGGTAGGCCCTAATCCCCAGGGTCCCTAGAAAACCTCATTTGTATTCCATCGTAGCCGCTCTGGAGGCAGCAGAGGACAGCGAGGAAGACACTCCAGCAGCTTCTTGGGGAGAAAGATCTTCAGGTGGTGGCTGTTCTCTAGAGGAAGGACATAGTGTGTCATCCCTGACAGTATCACCACTGATATCCCTGTGATAGCTCAGGGAAAAGGGGCTGAAAGCAATCCAGAAGATGGGGGAAAACTGAGGCAAAGAAATGGGAGCAGAGCAGGGGATCCAAGAATTAGAGAGCTACCCCAGTGGGAGGCAAGAAAAAAAGGCTATGCCCGAACTAGGACCCTAGCTTGTAAACTTACCAGCAACCTCAGTGGTGTCCTTGGTATTCATGGTGAGGGGTCCAGGGGGCAAGGTCACCCCCGGCCTGAGGGGCCGGGGGGAGGGGGAGTCTGTGCTGGGAAGGGAGAGAACAAGGTCATGGCAGAAGCCCCCACACTAATCCAGCATGAGATGGTGAGGGGTACAGAACTGGGTCAGTATATCTGGAAAAGATGAGGAAGAGAGAAAGTGGCTAGACCATGATGTGAGAGCAGAAGCAGGGCGTGGAAGGAGAACACAGACACGGTGCCAGGGACCAAGAGCAGGGACACTCCAAACGGTGGGGGAAGGGAGAAGGCTGGGCCTCAGAGGCACTACAGCTTGGCTTGGGGGCTGGGACTCTGGGCATCTGGTCCTCGAAGGATGGTTTGGTGAAACAGAGCCTGAACGCTGGGGAACAGCAGGGACTTAGAAGACACACCCTGAGTTCCTTCTGTATTTGATTTTTCCAAGGGGAAGGGCAGATCTGATAACCAACCCTAACCTACTCTTTATCCTCCACACTGCTCAGGGCAGAACTTGGGCTACACACTTAGGACAATCCATCTTCCACCCTTAGGCTAACGTGCCCTCCGCACCGCTCCTCCCAAACGTCTTTGCCTCCCCTGGCCTCCAGGCCTAACCTACCCCATCTACCACTCTAGCTCCGCCCGAGGCCCCCACCCTCGTAGAGGAACAGATGGAAGCTGGAGGAGGCTCTCAGCGCGCGCTCCGCCAGGTGTCGCGGATGGAGATGGGGAGGAGGCCCGTCCCAGCTAGGCTGTGGGCACCCAAGCTGGGGTTGGGGATAAGGACTCCGCCCCAGGGCGCAGGTGCGCACTCCCGGGCTGGGCAGCCTGCCAGGGTGCGGAGCGGGAGCCGGAGCAGGTCCTGGGCTGCGGGCCCTGGGGCGGCGCCTGACTCGGACGCCTTGTCTGCGGGGCAGCCCCTCACTGCTGGGCAATGGTCCCGGGAGGACTTCCGAGGTGGGAGGGTCCCGCCCTCATAGAGGGATGTTCTGGAGAAGCCGCGGACAAAGTCCGCGGGCGCGCGGCGCGCAAGGGACAGTGAGGGTGCCAGGACCCAAGGGTCCCCGGGACAGTCCCCGGCACAAACAGCTCCGCCGTGGGACCCAGAGCGGAGCGGCGCCCCCTGGCGCGGGGGAGGAGGATGGAAGCGGAGAGGTGGAGGCGAACCGGGAGGAGGGAAGGTGGTCCCTCGACCGAAGCTCCGCGTCCGTACCAGGATGAGCTGCGCCCCCTGGCGCGGGGGCGGAGAGGCAGGCTAGAGGCCCTGGCTCTTACCTCCTGGGGTCCCGCAGGTGACGGCGGCAGCGGCCATTCTACCCCACATCGACCCCCCCCCGGCGCCGGGTGACAGCGGCGTCCTACGTCACTGCGTAAGGGGCGGGGCCTCCCAATTAAGGGATGGGGCTTAGGAAGGGAACCGGGGGTCAGCACACGTAGACTCTGGGTGGGGCGCTAGGCGGATGGACTCAGCTATCAGATCCCCGAGCCAGGCCGAGGGCCAGGCTGCTGGGAAGCCTCTACAGGGGCAACAGTGCTGAGGGGCAGGATTCCGGGGTCCCGGAGGCGGAAGTTCAGCCGACTGACTGACGGGACTCCGGGGCGGAGGCTGCCGTCAGGTGCTGGAAGCCGAGGGGCTGGGCGAGGAACGTTAGACTAGGCAGCACTTTTCTTCTTGAATTTTGGGGGCCCACTCCAACTTAGTTCTAGCTGGGTCCTCCAGAATGGGAAAGGAATCCACCTCTCTTATTAGTCCTCCATTCCTGCTTCACAAAGAGAAAGACACCATCTGAGCTTGCCTTGCTTGCTTTAATAACAGAACAGAGAAGGAGAAACACAGTGCCAGGAGCGGGTCTTAGAGGAAAACAGGACTTGGGGAGCTCCTGTGAGGAGGGTAGGTTGAGATGGGAGTCCAAAGAGGCTGTTAATATCTAATTCCAAGAATGGCAAAAGAAGCTGAAAAAGCCTTGATGTCAGAAATGTAGGAAGTGGTCTGGTGTCCAAGAGGCACTATCACCTTTGAGCCTCAAGTTTTCTCCTTATTCCTCAGGCTCAAATTCTATCCCCCAGGGACTGTAAAGGGGTCTCCCATTGGCTGTGACAGTGCTGTAGGAGGTCAGGAAGCCCTGTCCCCTGGAAAGGCAAGACTCCTGGCCCAGGGGATTCCAGGGAGACCAAAGCAGCTGTAAAAATAAGATAAATTGAAATAAAGAATAGAAACATAGCTCTCCAGATTTCCTAACCCCCACACCAAGGTACCCGAAAGCCTCTGGCTCTTACCTACTTTATTTTTGTTTCTCTCAAATCCTAGACAGGTTCTCCTCTTTCCATCCAAGACTAGGGATCCACATGACCCTCTACCACACCACCCTCCAACCATACCTGGGCCCTGCCAGGAGGGAGGAAATAGTCCTCTTCCGGTAGATAAGCTGCCCTCTCCTCTTCCAGATCAGGGTACTCAGTGGCATTGGGGAATCCTGGGCCCTTTTCACCAAGCATCAGGGTCTCAGAGGCCACCCCAGAGGTGCCCCACTGGGCCTTCTTCAGTCTGTGGAGACTTTAGATTTAGGAGAGGTGCCTGGACTCCTTCCCTCCCCATTCTTCACCCTTTTTCTTCAAATATTTCCCATGGGGACCCCTTATACTGAAGTATTTCCATTATCCTCCTGTTCTATGATATGCTTGCCTGTCTTCAGTTATCCAGTTTTCACTTGATCAAACTTAATGTGGCTCATCTTCTAGCCCTCAGCTCCCTCCTCCTTTCCACATTACGGAAATTCTGCTTCAAATATATCAAGCCCATGGCTCATTCCCAAACATCTCTAATTCCCTCAAAGCTCTCAATCCCATCCTTGGCTCAAAGGATCCTGCCCTAGGACCCTGTTTGGTTCCCAGAGTTCAGACCTCTCTCTTCCTTACTCATCGATCATTCCCTGGCGCCTCCTTAGATCCTCCAGGTGATAAGCGACAGCCCTCACCCGGGCTGGGATGCCCCCAGGTCCCCGCTGTACTCCCACCAAACGTGGCTTCCTTTTCTTCCTTCTGCAAAGCATCTCAGGGGGTGGGAGCCCCTCAGGAAGGTACTGGCCAGCCTGGGAGCAGCCAGTGGCTCTCTGTGCCAGAGAATGGAAAAAGGAACTAGAAAGTAGAACAGGTCTCACAGGGGAATTTGAACTGCAATGGGGAGCTTTGGAAAGCCCAGATCATAAAAACATGGCTGTGATCTAGAAAACATAATGATTGAGTCACAGACTCATAGAAAGGAGGGCCTGGTCAGTGGACTGGTTGAGGACACCAGAGGGAAGGGTAATGGGGAGAGCTGAGGATGATGGGTATGGGTGTATTTTTAGCAAGAAGCATAGAAGGACAGAGTTTGTCCTACCAGCATGGATGGAATGTACTGTTCCTCCGCCCAGATGAGGCTGTGAAACACAACAAATGGGTTAGTGCAGGGAGGATACCCCCACCCATACTGCTTCTCTAATGACCTCTCCCAAACACCTGACTGGCATTAGGAGCTACAGCATCCATCAGCCAGTGAGGCAATTACGGCTAGACTAGAGCTAATTGCGATCTGACTTTATGGTAGTTTAAAACTGTAAGCTTCACCTTCCCATCTCCTGTTAGGCCCCATTTTCTCCCTTGCTACCCACCTGGGCCTTTGACTAAGGTTTTCCCAGAAGATGTCTCCATACTGCTGGGGTGGCATTCTGAGGCTCTTCTGAGGCAAGCTGCGGGGTGGAGATCGGCGGACCACTCTGGAGCATCTGAGGTGAGGATAAGGCAGGCTCAGGAGATTCAGCAGCACTTGTTGTTCCATGGAGCTCTGGGGGCACAGTGCCTAAGGCATTTGACTGCTAACCAGAAGGCGGTTCAAACCCACCAGCCACTCTTCGCAAGGAAGGTTGGGCAATCTACTCCTGTAGTGATACTGCCTGGGAAACCCAAGGAAGGGTCACTATGAGTTGGATCCCACTTGATGGCAGTGTGGTGGGGTGTCTTTCCATGGGAACATACAGCTGCCCAGGCTCCCTCTCTTATCCACTTTAGCTGAGAAATGTGGTAAGCCTCCGATTTGGAAGGCGTTTGGAGCTGGGGTGAGGGTAGATACTGGCAAGGGTTGGAGCCTCAGATCTCACTGAATCTCAAACCTCTAAGCTCCACAGTCAGAGAACATCATATTTAGCAAGCAGGGTTGTTGGCTACTCAGGTGGTTAGACAGAACAGGGTTCTTTTGGTCAATGCAAGGATCCAGCAGAGTAGAACCTCTGTTTACCTCTGTTTATCTCCCTTATCTCATTTGGACTAAATTCTTCTAGGCAGGGATAGATGTGCAGAGCTGTTTGAGAACAGTGTTCTTTATTTCCAAAGCTTTCAGTCTGAATGATGACTGCCCTCCTGATCTCTGGAAGTAGAGAATCCTAGGGCTTTGGCCAGGGGCTCTTTATCTTTCCTATCTCCATCTCTCCTTAGGTGACCTCATTTATTGCCATGACTTTAACTATCACCAATGTGCTGATAACCCCAAATCTCTATCTCCAGCTCTGGCTCCTTCCCAGGGCGCCAGATTTGCAGGTTCAACTGCCCACTCAATATCTCCCCAGCTTTTCTCTTCTCACTGAAAGGTACCCCAAACACCCAGTTTCTAGGGCCAAATATCTGGTATGCCTCACTTTCCCTCACCTCCCTATCTAATCCACTAGCAAATCCTATTCTACATCTAAAATATACTCAAATGTGATCACTTCTCACTATTCCCACTCCCATCACCCTACTCTAAGCTATCACCCCCTGCCTGGACTATTACAATAGCCTCCTTCTCTCCCTGCTTCCATTTCCAATCTCCCAACTATCTCTATCCTGCAAAGAGCAGTGAGAATAATACTTTAACACATGATAATAGGAAATGATAAAAGGTTTGAGATTTACTTCAAAATAATCTAGGAAGTAGGAGGCAAACAGATGTATAGATGAAAACACTATCCATATAACGATACTTAATTAAGCTGAGTGAAAAGGATATATTTAGCTCATTATACTATTTTCTCTGCTTTTGTATTTATTTGAAATTTTCCATAATAAAAAAAGTTGGAAAAAAGTGTGATCATGTCACTCCCTTGCTTAAAACCTTCTAATGGCTTCCACTCTCCTGAGAATAAAATCCAAGCTCTTTTTGTTGGCCTATACGGTTCTATAGGATTTGGCCTTTGCCTACCTCTCTGACTATACTCTCTATTTTTCCCTTGATCACTCAGGGTCAGTTATACTGGCCTGCTTCCTGTTTCTAGAAATTACCAAGCTTGTTTCCTTCTGAAGGTGTTTTCCTGCTATTCTGTTATTGCTCTTTATTCTTATCATGACTGTTGTTGTTATGTGCTGTCCAGTCAACCCCTCCTTGGGTTTCCAAGGCAGTATCACTATGGAAGTAGATTGTCCCATCTTCCTTCTGAGGAGTGGCTGGTGGGTTTGAACCGCCAGCCTTCTGGTTAGCAGTCAAGTGCCTTAGGCACTATGCTACCAGAGCTCCTTATCATAAGTAGCTTCTTTTTATTTTTCAAGTCTCAATTCAAACTTACCTCTCCAGAAGTCTTCCACAATCACCCTATCTAATCTTGTATCCCATAAAACACTATTTTCCATGTAATTATGGAACATTTAATTATGTAACAACAACAACAACATAAAACTATTTTCCATTTAATTATAGTCCTGTTTTATTTTGTTCATAGTACTTATTACTAAATCAAAACCCACAGTTATCGAGCCAATTCCAATCCATAGCAAACCTCATTCGGTTTCCAGGGCTATAAGTCTTTACGGAAGTAGATTGGCTCATCTTCCTCTTGCTGAGCAGCTGGTGGGTTTGAACCACTAACCTTCTGATTAGCATCCAAATGCCTCATCCACTACACCACCAGAGCTCTTTATATTTGTTTACACATTCTGTCTCCTCCCTCTAGAATATAAGCTGTATGAAAGCAGGTCCAATCTTACTAAGTGCTGAATTTCCAATGCCTAGAACATTGTATTTATTTAAAGCAATCTAAATACACTAATGAGTCATCAATCCCCTGAGAGTAGGCATTGATTGTCCTGTTCTTTATTTCCTAGTCTCAGGGCAGGACTCAGGATACAATCTTCCCTCCATCCTATCCCCCCGTACTCTATTGGGTGGGGAAGACTCACTTGGCAGAAGGGATGAAATTGTCTTCATCTTCCTGTACCTGCATGACTGGACTGGGCTGGGTAGCTGGAGTCTCCCCCTTGGCCTTGGAAGGATAATAGAAAATGAATCATTCACTCACGTAATAGCTCAGGGAGGAGACCAGTAGCAGATTTAGAGATTGGGATGAGGGTGTATGGGTCCCAAAATAAAAAGAGAGCTTAAAGAGTTATTTCTAGTGCTGAACTGGGTGTATTGGCTGAACATACAGATTCAAGATAGTGAGCACAGGAGAGGTGGATATGGTAAAAGTAAAGAAGAAAGCCAAATGTATAGAGTAAGTACAGTTGGCAGTTAAGTAACTGGCAATATGGGATGATAAAATGAGAAAGGATAACAGGTGAAGACTGAATGGGGCAGGGATATTTGAGGGTAGTTGGTATAGAATTGGTGGTTAGGGGCAGGTTAGAGAAGTGGCAAAACTGAAGACTAGTCAACAAACTGGGTATGAGAGGTTAGTGAAATTTAAGTGTGGACAGAATGGTTAATTGATGACAGGGAGGGAAGGGGCAGTTGACAACGCTGATGAGTAAAGAAGGTGAACAGAGTCCATTGCATGGATCCAGAATTAGGGGCAGCCAAGGATCACTTGAGAACCAGATGAGGTGGCAGAAAAGACAGTTAAGAGTATTGAGTTAGGACAGGACAGAAAAGGCCAATTGGAAACTGTTAGAGGTGAATAAGTATACCCAAGGGCATGGGCTGAGAAAGCAGTTAGGCAAAGTGAAAAATGGAAAGAGTAATAATTCAGCTGAGATAGCAGACAGGGATAGTTAGAGCTGGGCCTATAGGCAGGTGGGGTCTAAAGGGGATGTCATAGGCCAGAAGGGGGGGTGAGCAGAACTCAAGGTTGAATTGGCAGTTCAGAAGCATCCAGATCTCGGGTAGTTGGTCTTGAGTGAGTGGGCAGGATGAGTCTAGGAGGGAGGCAAGGTCTTGGAGGGCAACCCCACCTGAGAGGACAGACCTGAGGGATCATTTAATCTGAGTCTGGGGTAGAGTGCCCTGAGCGGAGGCACCAGGCCTGAGGGGATGGCTTGGGCCGTAGCAGAGGGACTAGGGGTGTGGCCAGAGCCTTGGAGTAAGCAGCCAAGCTTGAGGGCAAAATCGGGGGCCTGAGAAAACCATCAGGCAAGAGATGGTAGACCCATGCCTGAGGAGACCTGGTTGGGTCAAGGGGGTGGCTCGGGCCTGACAGGAAAGCCTCGGTCTGAGGCAGCACCCAGGCCTCAGGGGGTTGCTTAGGTCTGAAGTGACGACCAGGGCCTGCTGGGACAGCGAGCTTGAGGGGCAAGTGGGGACAGGGCGCAGGGGCGGTGACACTGCTGCCGACCGCACTTGGCCACGGCACCTGAGGCAGCTGCGAGGCGAATTCTAGAACCGTAGGCCCAGCGGGGTACAGAGAGAAGGCAACCCCAGCGGAGGGAGGAGCCGGCGAGCGTCGCGCGCTGGGGGCGGGGCCTGGGCTAAGCCACCTTCTGGGCGGGACCGAACGGGATGCTCCTCCCCCTGCACGCGGGTCCCTGGCCGGGGTCCCCTCCAGGGTCCGTCTACACCTTTCCCGGCTCCTCAGGTGCTGGCGATCCTCCCCAACCCCGGCGTCTCGTTCACCGTTCTGCCTCCACAGCTGGTTCCTTCGTTCCCATCCGGTGGGTCCCGCAGTCCCGGGAGCATTGCCCCTTTAACAAGAATAGTCCGAGTTGCTCCCTATTTCTCCCGGCCTCTTTCGGGACGGCGCGCGCCCGCTTGTC